CCCCCCCCCCCCCCCCCCCCCCCCCCCCCCCCCCCCCCCCCCCCCCCCCCCCCCCCCCCCCCCCCCTCCTCACATTGCCCACTGGGTTCCCCCTAGCAGCGAGGAGATCATATTCGGGTGGAGGTATCGGGAGACCAAGGGAGCAAGGGGGTTTACCTTTCTGGCGAGTTTTTGGTGCTGGGGGCCTGAGAGGAGGGAAGAGAAAGGGGAGAGAGCATCCCGGAGGGTCTCGAGGGACCGGACCAGGGACAGGGCAGGCAGGCAGAGGCAGGGTGGACAAGGCAGGGGAGACATGGCAAGCCAGTACGGAGTAAAGCCAAGCAAGGTCAGCAGTGGAGAGCAAGCGCTCGAGCAGCAGCCGCGTATGAATCCCTCCTGCGGACCCGTAGTGTTATGCAGAAACATACAGTGTACTGTATGCAGACAGACAGCTTCTACGGATATCTGTACTGCGCATGGACTACGTACGGTAGGAGAGTGTAGACGAGAGGCGTACGTAGGGAAGAAGACAAGACAAAGTTCACCACTCGATGTGTATCCGTAATGCGGGTAGACGAGGAGTTAGGAACCAAGCAGGCTGAGAACGTGTGACAGATGTATGAACACCACAAGCGGCGCAGATGGCATGCAGGCGAGCTGCCGAGTGTGCGGGCGGGACGGTGCCAAAGACCGGACGGGTTCCTGTCCATGTCAGAACCACCAGAGTCAGCGGCAGCGCAGCTCAGGACTCGGAGAGGGACAACAAGTGTGTGTGTGTGTGTGCATGCGCGCGTGTGGGTGTGGGAGTGGGAGTGAACGATGAGCTGGACTGCGACTCGGAGGCCGACTCCAGCCAGAGAAGATGGAGGATGGTTGCACCCACCTGAATAAGAAGTGGAAGTGAACCCTTCACATCCACAGATGCATCCACACGTCCCCATGGACTGGCATGCAATCCCATGGAATCTCGCGCCCCTGTTCCCGGCCCCAATCCGCCAATCCCGACCCCTGATCCTTGAAGCGTCTCTTCGTCCCTGGGTTTGGACGACGCCCCCCTGTCGACTGGTGCCACACTAAAAAGTTTGGACTCGAAATCCCCTGCTCTGGGCTGAAGATAGCCCGGCAAGCGTCGACGAGGCCACTGGCTGATAGTTGATGGGAAAGCATAGCAGAGGGGCAAGTACCGCCAGTCAGTGACAGATACAGACAAGAGGCCAGGCTGGACGACAGGGCGAGACATTGTCGGTAGAGTGATAAGTCAAGGCGGTCGTTTCTGGTCCGAGGGCCAAGGGCAGTTCTGTGTACGCGTAGGTACGGATGGATGGTTCAAGCGGTGATTAAACCGGGCATTGGGAAAGGGCGAAGCAGCTTAGCTATGACGATATCCCGGCGGCGTCGACAGTTGAGCACCTTGGTGAGCTAAAAAGGGACGGAATGTGAATCGATGAGTGTCGATTCGGGAGGGGCAACAACAAGGGGACATGATAGAGACACTGGAGATGGCAGGGCAGGACCGGGCAGGGCAGCAAGATCTCGGGCATGAGATGGTAGGGAAAGCCGAGGGGCGGCGGCGACGATCCCAATGGCATCATATGATTTGGAGAAGCGAGGGCGGCTGAAGTATGTGTTGCGGTCGGTGTCATTGAGTGTGTGTTGTGTGTGCGAGCGTGGGAGGCCCTCCTGGTGGTCAAGACGGCAAAAAGAGCATCCGTACCTTAGGTGAAGGCCTGCTAGACTCGTTAGCAGTACTGTATGGTACGGAGAAAGAGGGGAGGAAACCTGGAAATGTTTTGCAAAGAAACAATCAGTTGAATTATGGCTTGCTCATTAGTTAGTTGCCGGGCCGAGTTGACATGTCCGGCTCTTGTTAGCGTTTGCTAGGCGATTTCGTAAGATGAGACGAATATCGGCAGCATTGATGATTTTCGAGAGTCAGACGACAGGTTGTCAATTCGTCAACGAAGTCAAATTGCGTGCTGACGTGCCGCACATGGTGATCTCAGCAAAGCGTACTGGGGAGAGTTGAGGTGACAAGTAGGTTAGGGCAAGATAAGGCCTCAAAGATGAGGCTGGCAAAACAGAACCTCAGGCATGCGTAATGTCCAATTTGGGCAGTTCCCAATGGAAGCTTCCATTGGTTGATGATGAAAGGCTGACCAACGGCGGGGACCACGGAAACCTCAAGGTGGTGATGTGGTCACTCAGTGTCTTCACAGTTGTTCCTCCTGCATGTGGCTCCAGGATTGAGGCCCAACAAGTCCCGGTCGTGATAATATCGCGGTAAAGGTAGGAAGGACTGTTGCAGAGCGAAACAGTGTGGAATAAATTGACACAGCCTCGAATTACCTAAGCGAGCACACGGACCAGCAGTTAGTGTTACTGGACGACGGCCTCCAGGGCTGTCTGCTGTCTGCTGTCTGCTGTCCGTTCCTTCCCCACCTCACGACAGGCACGGACTGGCCGGCGACCTGGCGAAAGGACAGTGCTCCGGACGGTGCGCTCCGTGTATACATCTTGCACAATCGATCTCACTACCTTACCTTACCTACCTAGGTACGGATACCTAACAATAATGTCTCTATCAGTAATGCAGCCAATGACGGGAGGTTCACTTCATTGTTTTATACACGGGGTATAGAATACCTAATAACGGACGGGCGGGGAGCTGGCCGTTTGGTGTTTCTTGCAGTCCAAACAACTTACCTTACCGTAAGCTACCTTACGTAAGCAGGTACCCTAAGGTACGTGCCGTTCTGACTCCCGTCTCATACGGCTCTCGCGCACCTGGATAGGTATGCGTAGACCGAGAGCGGACTTCAACTGCGCCAAAACATTGAACTCGACCTGGAATTCCATCGTCAAAATAATTTTTCACACTCTCCTCTTGCCTTCCATTCCACACGGGCACCCTCATCGGCATACTTAAGCTTTGGCCGCCATGCCGCCGCCGCCATTGTCATTTCTCCAAGATGAGCCGCCCCGGCCAACTTCTTCACCAGCCTGAACTAAGGTAGGTATCACAAGTAGGTGGGTAGGTACTTGCACCTGACGCCCAGCACCGCTCTGGGCCTCTCGTTGACATTCCGCCAGCCTCACCACTCAATCCTTGTCTGCACTGCGTCAAGCTGGGTCACCAACTTTCTTCTTTACTGCACATCGCCTCTTCCCGCGTCCAGCTTCTCTTGGCTTCCCCACGGCCTGCCTTCGCTCGGCCTGGCGCGCCGCATCGCTGTTGCTGATCCTGATCTTGTCAATTTCTCTCCCGGAATCCCGCAACTCCCGATCGACCTCGGAATCACCAAGACTGCTTCGCAATAGTCACAACCTGTACTCTGGCGAGTCTCACCAAGTCGGAACAATCGCTACAGGCCCTGCCCTGCCGCTGTATTCGTACTGGACGGATCAACATCGATCGCCAGGAACCATACAAAATACCGGCTAACCAGGTACACCAGCCAGAGCTATGTCACTGCGACCCAGCCCCCAGAGTTCGGCTGCGACCTCGTACCGTCCATCCAGCTGCCAATCCTACCCGCGTCATGACACCACCGAACCAAAACCAAAACCAAAACCACCAAGCCGGACGGCATCAGCCTGCCTGGATGCTGTGAGTACCTGTCTCTTTCCACCAGGCTTTCCCAGCATTAACGTGAATAAGGTACCTTAGTATAGACGTCCGCTCGTCCTGACACCCAACTACGAATACATCCCGCCCATACGTACAGATAGATACTGGCACTGGATCGACTCCAACTTATCCAATTCCCCACCTACGTACCTCAAGTACCTTAGGCACCTTACCCACCGCCTTCGTCCGCTGTCGGGGTCGGGTACCGCATCAGCTCTATCGCATCACATCCCACCGTGTAGGAGGACCTCTGGGCAGGATGGGCCACGCTCGCTGCCGCCGTAGTAGGGTAGCTATGCCTCTGTCGTCTGCGCCCCGGCGGCGTGCCGTACGCATACATGAAAGCCCATGCTGCCACGCGACAAATGGAGCAACCATTGCGACTGCTGTCCTCACCGGCTGTTGCGACTTTCTGCCGACCTATCGCACAAAGGCTTGGTCTGGACGAGAAGAGTGCAGACGTAATGATGGATTAGGCCAGGTTCCGCCGTCATTCTCAGTTTCCGTCCCTCTCCGCCATCAAATCCCGGTCAGCATGCCAAAATCTGCCCGGTCGCGATTCGTGGGCGCAAGCGGCCCCTGTCGCACAGCTGTCGTCTGCC